ACATCACTGCAGGTCTGTGCCGGTCCTCTGCTGGTGCTGGGGATCTGTGCCGGTCTGGCCTCAGTGCCGAGGAGGGGGAGCGTCGCATCGCCAGAGACTCTCTCGTGGGGCTCAGTGCCAGGAAGCAGTGCCACAGTGAAGGCAACTGAGAGCGGTGCCAGGTACGCTGCCGAGCTGGGGACTGTGAGCGCTGCATCGTATCAGGCTTGCCTGTAGACAGTACCAGTCTTATCAGCACCGGAGCCTTGTCCCTCAGAGCTGGGGCCTGTGCAGCCATCATCACAATAAGGTCTCTGGTGGCTTCAAAAGCGTCCGGAGTGGAGGGTGGCTCTAACACCTCCACCTGGCACTGCCCTGCCAGAGTCACTAAGTGCCTGACTCAATGGTCCCTTGTGGGGCTCTGAAGTCAATGGCACTGACTCGTGCTGACTTGATGCCAGGTCCTTTCTGGGGTGCACCATGCATCCCGACAATCCCGCAGATATCGAGGCTGGCAAGCGCCCTCTTTTGGCCTTCTTGTGTCTCTTGTGCGGCACCAGGGAAGTCGAGCAGTGCCAGGCTGCTATCCCTGGGTGCGGTGCTAGGGAGCGCCGGTGCTGAGTGTCTCTTGTGGTGAGTCCTTCCTCAGTACCATGTCGCATACGGATGCTGGAACATACCATTAACAGTTATTTTAATCAGAAATCATGCTCCTTTTTGGTTCTTGGCTGAAAAGCCCTGCAGATTTTGCACCTTTCCGTTTGGTTCACTCCCTCCAGACACTTTAGACAAGAGTCGGGGGAGTCACTGATGGGCATAGGTTTATTACAAGCACTGCAGCGTTTAATGCCTTGGGCTCATGGGATGCCCCAGAGCCCGAGGGGGGTTAGGGACTGGGGAGAGATCCTGCTCCCAACCTACTATTAACTAACTCTAACTATAAATTGTAATGACTAACAGAAGAACGCTAAGGGAGCACTTGCTGAGCAAGTGAGCACTGTTCCAACAGCCGTCATGGACGGTAAGAAGGAACTGAAGGGGGGCCGGGTAGGCAGGGTCGTATACTGAGTGCCATGAAGGCGCCACTTCAGGGGGATCCACAGCTGACCTGACAGGAGCTGCCAAGGGAAAACTTTCTGACGACCATGCATGCTGCGCGCGCACACCTGATTGGAATTGACATGAACAAGCACTCGAAGAACAACAACATAGCTACTATTGTTGTGATTTCTTCACTTCTTGGTGTATACCTCTGAAAAAAATGTTAACTTTTTCAGATATAAAAAAGCCAAAGTTTCAAAATAGATAGTTTGAATTAGTCCCTACCCTTTGAATTCTAATAGGTAACTTTAGGGAAAGACAAATGGAGCATAAGCTATGAAAATGTTTACTGTTCTTTCCCACAAACTTTATTTCTCAAATAAAATACTATAAGGGCTAAATATACCCACATTAATTCTTAATTTCAAATAATGAAATAAGTTATCTGAGAATACTTTAGTATCTGTGATACAACATCGCTGCACTGAAATATCTCCTAGTGTTTACTTGTTAAGACTCAGCCATGAACTGTCTGGGTCTCAAATCACTAGGCAAAATTCTCACATCTCAGTACAACTTCTCTTGACAAAAGAAAAGATAAATTACAACAATTCTGCCTGGTTGAATTTACATATAATGATAGACAGAAGTACAGGCAATATTACAGTAGTTTACAACATTATTACCAATAGATAGTGTAAGTTGTTAGAATAAGTATACTTTTATTCTGGAGAGTGACTAGATTGCTAATCATCTTCACTAACCATTCTGTGTTATAAATCTAATGCTTACCATGTGTGGGGCACTGATAGTTGCTTGGAAACCTGTAAAACAAGAAAGGGGTAAACCTTCTGATGTAAGAGTTGAGCTAACAGTGTTAGAACATTCCTATCCGACTTATGTATGAACCATCGCATATGCAAGCCTTCAAATGAGACACTACAGCTGCTCTAGCTGTGTAGTTGTATTGTGATTTTGAATACAGTACTAATATATAAGAAGGTCTGACATGCCCAATTCTAAAGTGAAGAAAAAAGTTCTGCTACTTTCCTCAACTGGTCAATACATACAGCAATGAGGGGTACTGAGAAAGATGAAAGTTTCTATCTTTACAAACTCTATTTCATTTAGCATCTTATTTTTAGTTTAGTACAAACCTTTACTTTTGTAAAGCTATATTGCATGAAAGCTGCCTATGCAACATTTACATCCAAAGAGCAGCGTTTTCCCTTTCCACTGTTACTCCCCATGTGCCAATCCTGGTTCATAATTTTTTGTATGTGTTTTTGCATCAGATTACAAACTCCCTGACGTAGGGACCGTATCTGTTTGCCTGTAAATCAGCATGCGTATATATAAGGGGAATGAATGAGGGAAAATTGTATTGCATGTATTAACACTTAGGGAACATCAAGTCAATTTTTAATTTGATTTTTAAGATGCACACAAAACGAAGTTGGTTTATGTACAAATATAAAGAAAGCTCAATATGGACTAATCAATAATAAGTACAACTAAGAACTCCTACCATCAACCAATATAAAAGCTGAAAAAGAGAGGAAAAAATAGATACACTTTGATTCATTTCCCAAAAGGAAAAAAAATTAAAGGGTCTGGGTGGGAACAAGCAAGTTCCAGAATTCACGATCCTTCACTGAAAAATGCCCTGCCAGCAGTCCCTTCTTTTTTTATTCCCTTTTAAGTCAAGTTTAGGTCAGAGTCACATCTGCCGATCTCAACTGCAGTGTCATACAAAGAGAAAGAACATCTCTAATGTAACCAGATCCAAATTATTTAGAGTTTTATACAGTAATGTCAACACTTTAAACTGCAAACTTTCTGAGAGGCGTCACTAAGTAAATGAGCTACTGAAGTCTGCACTAGCCAAATCTTCAAACTAAAAGAGGCTGGATCAGCTAATTGTGAGGAACTAAAAATGCTCCCATATAAACTTTTCAGGCAGTTCTTTAAAATAAAATACTTTCATATTCTTATCACACATGCTGAACTCATACTCTCTGTTATAAAAGTGAGGATAGGCATTTTAGATAGATGCTCTCTTACCTATTGATTGAGGAGAGTCCATATAAGGGTTGCATTTTGCATAGTGGCAACGGTCTGTAGCCAACATTACTTCATATACTTTATCTGATTTGATTATTCCATTTTCTAAAAAAAAGGAGAGTTTTATTTACAAAAAACTGAAAGCATGATTTCTTTTTTATAATGATATGTCTGTGCAAGGACAAAATGTAAAATAAATGAATTCATAAATTGCAAGAAATCATAAGTTATGCATACTGGTCAAAGCTTAAAATGAAGCATAGTACAGATTAAAGTATGTAACTTTGAATTTTGAGCTACACCACAAGTTTTTCTAATTATAATAAAATGCTTTCAATTTTGTAATATGTTAAATATTATATATTCATTTTTAAATATCTGCCTCCCTCTCCTTCACCCCCACCATCCCCCTGGAAAAATGGAACTTGTTGCATATTTTTACCATTCCCGAAAGAATACTGTAAATCTCTCTAATACTGAACATAAAGTACAATGTTCTGCTAACAAACAATTTATGGTTCCTCTACATACACAGGAAGGAATAAGACCACTTACAATATATTTGCCTATTTGACAAACTGTAATTTATTTTCAAGTGCTGTTTCACTATTTGTCTTGAGAAAAATGTTCCCCTTAAAAGAAACTCCTACATCATTAGGATTCTGACATTTGGTCTTAGCCAGCCCACACAAGTATTCACATCAGAACAGTTATATCTTTGTTGCTCTCCCAACTGAACTATAAATGCTTTTGCCATTTTACATTCATGTACATTACCAGTTCACTCAAAAAAATTTTTGTTTAACTTGTGATCAAGTTCTTTATTGCTAAATGATTATTTAGCCTTGTTTTGTTTAGTGTTCTGAAAAAGCATTCATGTAATCATAAAAGTAACTTACAAACAACTGGAATAAACAGCATACTTCACAGTCAGTCACTTACATAACAAAAAGATATACAGTTTAAACCAAAAAAAAATGTTTTTTAAAATGAAATGCTCTATGAAGCTATTCACATTAAACACGGGGTAAAAATTTAAAAAGCACCTAAGCCATTTTTGAAAATGGGACTTAGGTTCATATAATAGGTGCTTTTGAAAATTATACCCAAGATCTAGTAATCTAAACCCAAATTCTTAAACTTATAATGGGACTGTTCTTATTAAAGTTACTTCAGTTTTTCAAATCAAGAGCAAAACGTCCTTATAAGGAACCACCTAAACAGCAAAACAAAACTTGCCCAACAAAAAAAGTTTTTCTGTAGATGTGAAAGCACAAGTAAGGCAGCAAACGGAAAATATACCATCAAAGCATGGTGGCAAAGATCCCAAAAGCAATGTCTTATATAATTTTATTCTTTATTTAGAATACTTCTATGTTTCAGATGGCTTCCTAGCTAAAATTCTTTCCTCCATCACATTACACATATAATGCACTTTGACTTCATAGAATCATAGAATATAAGGGTTGGAAGGGACCCCAGAAGGTCATCTAGTCCAACCCCCTGCTCGAAGCAGGACCAATTCCCAGTTAAATCATCCCAGCCAGGGCTTTGTCAAGCCAGTTCATTATGAACTGTATACTTCATTGATTCTGTATTAAAGTAAGACTCAAAGTGCTACCACACCTGCACACAACTTTTTATTCTGGGAATATTACTGCCAAATATCCATATTGACAGGGAGGTTCATATATTTGCTGAGCTGCCATTATCCTGCTATCACAACAAACTGTTAGTTCCACAGATCAGTTATAACTAAACCTAAACCACAAAACACTAGTGTATGACAGACAGGTAAGGGGTGAGAAATATCCATATTCCCATTGAATTAGACAACTGAAATCCAGTAAATATTTAGGAGTGGCCAACTAGGAAAAATATTGCTAAATTTGTACTTTGACCTTTCCATTAGAGACCACAAAAAGGTTGCCACCACTCAAGTCCCTTCTGAGATCCTGTCTTGAAAGCTCATTAACACCTTTGTTATTGACTGCCACCAGCTCAGGTATTGTTTAAACAGCAAGACAGAAGAAAAATAACCAAGAGGGCTCCATGGCAAGACTACAGCATCACTGCATGGGTATTGAGGAGCTTCTGAGATATAAGGTACATGAGTGCACAGGAAAAATCCCAAATATTGATTTCTTGTTTGAGATTGTAATGTTGAGCATGAAGCCTCCAATTTAGAGAAAGTAGGGCTAAGATCACCAGTTAAATAAAACTATTTTAATTAAAAAATGATGGAATGTTAGCAAGGTTGCTACAGCCACCTACACGGATATGCACATGCACTCAAAGGGTTAACTGCTACAAACTAGAAATATATTCTACATTTCTTCAGCACCTTCCATTCAGGGGAATCTCAAAAATGCTTTATGAATGTTAGTTATGTGAAGCCTGATTATTTTATTCTCAATTTATAAATGGAAAATCTGACCTTTCGTAAGTGACATGCCCAAATTCAGACAGTATGCAGGAGAACCAGGAATAGCAATTCGATCTCCTTAACACAAACTGCTTGATTTAACTACTAGATAATGCTCCCTCTTGATAAATATTTTGATCTGAATTATAAAAAGGAACACTGATTTATATAATGGCCTGCAATTCCTCAACAGAATGCTACTCCATTTTTCAAATGGTATCCACTGTACAGTATTAATTAGCCCAGGCTAACATGTCAAAAGATTTTATTAATCACCAGGTAATAGTAGCAGGAGGTTTGGGGAGAAATATGCCACAGTATTAATAATTAAGAAAAAACAAGTTTTGGTTTTATAACAATCTTGAGTTTTTGAAGGTATCACAGATTTCCCTTTCTTGAGGCTCTAGGCTCACAGTAAGAGAAAGGCAGAAGCTCTAACGTTTTTGGCCCTTTCAAGGTGTGCCGACACTGCTGTATAGAGCATGCCTCCCAGCCCCGGCAGACAGACTTGTGCTGACTTTGATCAACGTAGCGAGCTAAAAACAACAGTGTGGACATGGCCATCCTGGCCACAACTTGGACTAGCCATCAGACTTCAAGCCTGCCCATCCCTCTGAGTCAGAGCACAGGTGCCTAGCCTGAGCTGCAACATCCACCTGCTATTTTTAGCTCAGAGATTTGAGCAAAGAGACCACAAGTCTGTCTACTCGGGCTGGGAGGCATGCTCCCAGTTGCAGTATCTCTGAAATACTGAAACGTCAACGCAAGCACCCATCGTTCACCCACAAGGTGACCAACTCCCGGTACCTTAGTTCCGTCTAGAACAATCCCTGCCAGTTCCTGAATCACTCAGGAAGCAAAGAACTCCCATAAAATCTATTAGTAAAAGCATATACAATAAGAACACTTTTTCCAAGACAAGTTATCCCCAAGTACAAACAAGCAAGGCCACTAAGGCCAAAAATATCAACTCAAAATAAAACATCCAAATCTTGAGGGCAAACTGGTAGATAGATGACAGGGAAATAAATGCTGCATGAAAATATATTCAAAGTAACTCTCCTATTTAAAGATACCACACACAGGATTTCAGCTCCTGGAGAGTTAAGAGATGAGAATTAAAAAAGAGTTAAGAACACTAGTAGTGAAAACACTAGAGACAGAAAAAGATTCTCTGACGTAAAATAGATTTGGATCTTTGGTGAACTAGTGAGATGCCAGGAGAGTCAAACAGGCACAAAGCAATTCAGATTTCAGAGTAGCAGCCATGTTAGTCTGTATTTGCAAAAAGAAAAGGAGTACTTGTGGCACCTTAGAGACTAACAAATTTATCTGAGCATAAGCTTTCGTGAGCTACAGCTCACTTCATTGGATGCATTCAGTGGAAAATACAGTGGAGAGATTTATATACACAGAGAACACGAAACAATGGGTGTTACCATACACACTGTAAGGAGAGTGATCACTTAAGATGAGCTAATACCAGCAGGAGAGCGGGGGGAGAGAAAACCTTTTGTAGTGATAATCAAGGTGGGCCATTTCCAGCACTTGACAAGAACATGTGGGGGAGGGGGGGACAAACATGGGGGAAAAGTTTTACTTTGTGTAATGACCCATCCACTCCCAGTCTCTATTCAAGCCTAAGTTAATTGTATCCAGTTTGCAAATTAATTCCAATTCAGCAGTCTCTCGTTGGAGTCTGGTTTTTGAAGTTTTTTTGTTGCAGAATTGCCACTTTTAGGTCTCTAATCGAGTGACCAGAGAGACTGAAGTGTTCTCTGACTGGTTTTTGAATGTTATAATTCTTGACGTCTGATTTGTGTCTATTTATTCTTTTACGTAGAGACTGTCCAGTTTGACCAATATACATGACAGAGGGGCATTGCTGGCACATGATGGCATATATCACATTGGTGGATGTGCAGGTGAACGAGCCTCTGATAATGTGGCTGATGTGATTAGGCCCTATGATGGTGTCCCCTGAATAGATATGTGGACACAATTGGCAACGGGCTTTGTTGCAAGGATAGGTTCCTGGATTAGTGGTTCTGTTGTGTGGTGTGTGGTTGCTGGTGAGTATTTGCTTCAGGTTGGGGGGCTGTCTGTAAGCAAGGACTGGCCTGTCTCCCGAGATCTGAGAGAGTGATGGGCTGTCCTTCAGGATAGGTTGTAAATCCTTGATGATGCGCTGGAGAGGTCTTAGTTGGGCCTGAAGGTGATGGCTAGTGGTGTTCTGTTATTTTCTTTGTTGGGCCTGTCCTGTAGTAGGTGACTTCTGGGAACTCTTCTGGCTCTGTCAATCTGTTTCTTCACTTCCGCAAGTGGGTACTGTAGTTCTAAGAATGCTTGATAGAGATCTTGTAAGTGTTTGCTCCAATCCCTCAGACAGAGACAAATGTGGTTGTATTGTAGATCTTGGCTGTAGAGAATGGATCGTGTGGTGTGATCTGGATGAAAGCTGGAGGCATGTAGGTAGGAATAGGGGTCAGTAGGTTTCCAGTATAGGGTGGTGTTTATGTGACCACCGCTTATTAGCACCGTAGTTCCAGGAAGTGGATCTCTTGCGTGGACTGGTCCAGGCTGAGGTTGATGGTGGGATGGAAATTGTTGAAATCATGGTGGAATTCCTCAAGGGCTTCTTTGCCATGAGTCCAGATGATGAAGATGTCATCAATGTAGCGCAAGAAGAGTAGGGGCATTAGGGGACGAGAGCTGAGGAAGCGTTGTTCTAAGTCAGCCATAAAAATGTTGGCATACTGTGGGGCCATGTGGGTACCCATAGCAGTGCCGCTGATTTGAAGGTATACATTGTCCCCAAATGTGAAATAGTTATGGGTGAGGACAAAGTCACAAAGTTCAGCCACCCGGTTTGCCGTGACATTATCGGGGATACTGTTCCTGACGGCTTGTAGTCCATTTTTGTGTGGAATGTTGGTGTAGAGGGCTTCTACATCCATATAGTGGCCAGGGTGGTGTTTTCAGGAAGATCACCGATGGACTGTAGTTTCCTCAGGAAGTCAGTGGTGTCTCGAAGATAGCTGGGAGTGCTGGTAGCATAGGGCCTGAGGGGGGAGTCTACATAGCCAGACAATCCTGCTGTCAGGGTGTCAATGCCTAAGACGATGGGGCAGGATTTACAGGTTTATGGATCTTGGGTAGCAGATAGAATACCCCAGGTCGGGGTTCCAGGGGTGTGTCTGTGCGGATTTGTTCTTGTGCTTTTTCAGGGAGTTTGTTGAGCAACTGCTGTAGTTTCTTTTGGTAACCCTCAGTGGGATCAGAGGGTAATGGCTTGCAGAAAGTGGTGTTGGAGAGCTGCTGAGCAGCCTCTTGTTCATATTCCAACCTATTCATGATGACGACAGCACCTCCTTTGTCAGCCTTTTTGATTATGATGTCAGGGTTGTTTCTGAGGCTGTGGATGGCAGTGTGTTCTGCACAGCTGAGGTTGTGGGGCAAGTGATGCTGCTTTTCCACAATTTCAGCCCGTGCATGTTGGCGGAAGCATTCTATGTAGAAGTCCAGTCTGTTGTTTCGACCTTCAGGAGGAGTCCACCTAGAATCCTTCTTTTTATAGTGTTGGTAGGAAGGTCTCTGTGGATTAGTATGTTGTTCAGAGGTGTGTTGGAAATATTCCTTGAGTCGGAGACTATGAAAATAGGATTCTAGGTCACCACAGAACTGTATCGTGTTCGTGGGGGTGGAGGGGCAGAAGGAGAGGTAGCCCAGCAGAAGAATCTGTCTTAAGAGTATGGTTGGATAGATTAACTATATTGCTGAGTGGGTTAAGGGAACCACTGCTGTGACCCCTTGTGGCATGTAGTAGTTTAGATAGTTTAGTGTCCTTTTTCTTTTGTAGAGAAGCTAAGTGTGTGTTGTAAATGGCTTGTCTAGTTTTTGTAAAGTACAGCCACGAGGAAGTTTGTGTGGAAGGGTGTTTGTTTGTTTTTTATGAGAGTATCCAGTTTTGAGAACTCATTGTTAATCGTTCCCTGTTTGCTGTAGAGGATGTTGATCAGGTGGTTCCGCAGTTTCTTTGAGAGCGTGTGGCACAAGCTGTCAGCATAGTCTGTGTGGTACGTAGATTGTAGTGGATTTTTTACCTTCAGTCCCTTTGGTATGATGTCCATCTGTTTGCATTTGGAGAGGAAGATGTCTGTCTGTATTTGTACGAGTTACACAGCCGCTATTCTGAAACCTGTCATTATGCAAGGCACTGAATTTAGCCGTATGGAGTGGAAAACTATCAACTTCATGAAAAAACTCGTACAGATACAGACTTTTTTTTAAAAAATCAATTTTCCCCAAGGAGAGCAATAAAGTTTTCCAGACAAGTCTCTTCAATTTGTACTGAATCTAAGCTTTATTTCAAAAAAGTATCCTAGCTCTTACAGTTACGAAAAAAAGACTTCTAACCAGAAGTATTCGCTAATGCAGTGCTGTCTTCCTCTGTCTGTGCAGACAGCTCCCATGTGTCTGTTGTTGTTCATAACTTTTTCAAACTGCAAGATGCAGAAAATTGATCAAAATATTGTCATTTTTAATTATGTACAGAATCCTGTGAGCAGCCACAAAACTGACAAGAATCAAGTCAGTTTCACTCTACTCCTACTTAGGAAAGCTGGAAGCAGAAGCAGAAGACATTGTAATTGCTCGCTGAGGAGGAACAACCAAAAGAAAGACTAGCTAGAAGGGTTTAGAAAGGTAGTAAAAATATCCTCAGAGCACCCAGAAAACCAAAGGAGAGTAATGTCGATATCCCCCAAATATGACAGCCAGGAGGCTGGCAGAGGGGCAAAGTAACAAAGACACACACAGCATCCTCATAAAAGCCAAAAGACAGGAAGTGGAGAAAAATGCTGCTTTGTAGCTGTAAGTGGGGTGCTGGGGAGCTTCAGTTTCAGACACCTCCTAAGCAAAGCCTGATACAACAGGGAAGGAAAAGGTTTGGCATCTCTTCCAGATCCCTAAACAGTTTCTACCTACTACCCCCTCTAGCTTTCATATAGATCTGTGATTAGTAATTTTTTCCCTCCAGCAATGGGTATCAAAACTGTTGCAACCCATGCCTCAATAAAAGCAAGTGAGATACTGATGGAATTAATTAGAAAATGTAAGTACAACAGAGAGAAATGAGGAGGCAGAAGAAAGAAATGGGAGATGAAAATATGTAGTGTAGCAGGGGAAGAGAGTATGCCAAACTGATCCCTAGGCTTCCTCATATGGAGTATCCCAAGAATGAAAGCCTGCTAGTCTGGGTGAAAAACTGCCTGTGCTGCCACACACCCTCAAATCCATAATTCTGAAATGTATAGTATTTAGAGTGTTATGTATTGCATTTATTATTTTTTCTTTGAAAAGTGCAATTACTAAGGCTGGTTGAATAGCAGAAAAATTTTGACTATATACATGAATTAATCAAATATTTTATATATTATTAATTTAACTGGTATTTAGCAAATATTCACTAAATTATATTGAACCAACAAAAGAACTGGACAAATAAAACAGATTACTCAGATAAAGAAAAAAAAGTGAAGTGAAGCCAAGAAGAGGAAAGAAGATATAACAAGAGCACAAGATGCATTAGTAGCTTATTTGATTAATGTATTTAATGAATTTCACAGGTGATAAACAAGATATTAACCTTTTTTTTCTTCCTATTAGGCCATTCCAAGTAGTAAGTTAACACATTTTAAAAACGTGTAAGTAAGACGATGACGCGAAATGCAGAGCACAACTTTTTCATTCCATTAAATTGGAGGAGTGTAATCTGTTTGTGGCAGCACAAACATTTTTCACTCATGTTAGCAGGCTTAGTCCCTGGGCTAAATGTCAGGTAAAGAATTGGTCTTCATTTTAAGAAAAACCAATATGTGAAAACTGTACTAGAGAAGCAATTTAACGAGCAAACAAAGCATCTGAACTGATGATCAACAGTGAGAGCAGGGAACTGAACAGAACATCTATTTAAGGTGTTTTGCCGCAATATTATCCTGTATAGACCACTTAAAAGTATTAGAATATTTGACAATAATTCAAACAGGACTTTGATAAATTTAAGACCTGTATTATGGTTTACATAACATTGTTTATTTTTTCCCCACACAAAAAGACAGTGAATTTACCCATTTGCCATCACTGGATGTATATTTTGGAGGATGTAGCTGTTTGGAGAAAAATTTTACTTTGGATTTCAATGAAAATTATGAAGAACTCCTTACTAAGGGGAAAAACATGTTCATTTTAAATTGGCCTGATGTTACTTTAACTTGTCTTTCATCAATGGCCAGCATGGATAAAAATCAAGGATTTAAAAAAAAAATCGGATTTTTTTGATAAAATGCTTTTTGAGGAAAAAACCTAAAGATAGTTTTAATTAGGATACATTATAGCTCAAAAAAAAAATCTCATCGTGGAATAGGGATTATAAATTCTAATTCTATAGTATGAGACAATACACTCATGTAATGTTTAAGAAAAGTTTTGTAAATGAGTTCCAATAGTTCATGGATTAGGGACCCAATATTATGAGGTTCTAGGGGCTTCTGTGTAGATTATTTAGGTTAATCTGTCTATCTACCCAATGGGACTCAGTGCTCAGTCAAGAAGATACCATCAGAGATGCTTAGTTTTGCAGTTCTGGACAAGAAGAAGAAGTCTGGAGATAAATGTGAGAAGGGAGAGACAGGCAGTAGAAACAAAAGTGAAACTGTTTGAGCAGCATATTCCAGAAGTCTTGACATCTTTCTGAGTGTAGCCTTCATTGATTTGAGATCTACCATACACTTCTCTCACTAGAAGGGAAAACCTATAATGGCAGCAGGCCATAAAATAGACTCAGTTTGGGAATATTTTAATGAAGTTCCTCTGCCTGTGGGTAAGACAGGCATACGTGCAAAATGCAAACAGTGCAACAAAATTCAAGGCTTGGCTGCCTGAATGAAACATCATGAGAAGTGTTCCTTCTCAGGAAGAAACTGCATTGAAAATGATGAAAGGAACATGTCTGAACATGCAGGATCTTCAGGTTGGTAAACTTTTTTATTTCATACTTCTTTCTGCCTGTCTTCCTTCTGGACTATTCTTGAATTCTCATGTTTGAGCAAAAAATATAGTTGTTACTCTATGGTACTATCATTTTAGATGCAGTTGTGATAAAAAATAAATAGCTGAAATAGGTAGATCTTCCTTTTACAATTTTACCTTTAAAGTAGTATTGTCAGTGAATGCAATGAGTAATACTACATGAGCAGTATGGTAATAATAATTAAATAACTGCATTGACTTGTTTTGTTTAGGAGAATCTATCCTCAACATATAGGATTCTTAAGACTATCCACCTTCAAGATCACCATCATTTTCTATAGTTTCAGAGTTATCTGCCAATGACAGTATTTCAGTCACATCACGTATGTCACATAGCCACAGTATATCACCTGTAGCAAAAATAAATAAATAAATAAATACAAGATCTCCATCATCCAGAAACAACCATAGATACATTTGTGATAAGAATCGGTGGAATACAAAAAGAGGTAATCGATGAAAAAATTGCCCGGTTTGTTTATGCAACAAACTCTCCTTTCCCTTTCAGAACCCACACGTCATTAACATGGTTCAGTCATTAAGACCAGGATACAGTCCACCCAACAGAGCAGATGTCGCAGGAAAATTGTTGGATAAAGTGTATGAAACAGAAATTGAGCAGTGTGCAAAGGGTCTAGAGGATGAAATTGTTAACCTGAGTCTTGATGGGTGGAGCAGTGTCCACAATGATCCTGTTGTAAGTGCTTGTGTGACAACAAGAAGGGAATGTCTTCCCTAGAGAAACAATTGATACATCAGGAAATGCACACACAGCCAAAGATCTCAACATTGGGCTTAAGAGAAATGTTGAACACATGCTGAGTACCCTGAAGCCTATTGCTGTAACCCTGAACAAAATGCAGGGAAATAGCTGTTTTATTACTCAGGCTGTTGAAATTTGGAAGGAACTGAGTGAGATCTTAAAAAGAGAAACATGCAATGACAGAGTTAAATTACAAACATTAAAAAAACAAATAGGACAAGCACTATCTCCAGCTTATTTTCTTGCAAATATTCTCAATACTTGGTACCATGGTCAAACCTTAACTGCTGAAGAAGAGCAGTTGGCTATGACACAGACATCTAGCAATCATCCCTCCATATGCCAACTATAATAAACTTCAGAGCTAAGGGTGAACCATTCAAGAATTATATCTTTGCTGATGATGTTTTAAAGAAAGCCACACCAGTGAACTGGTGGAAGTCACTTAAGCACTTGGATTCAGAGACTGCTGAAGTGATAATCTCACTTTTAACAGCAGCAGCTTCTTCTGCCAGTGTAGAAAGAATATTCTCTTCCTTTGGACTAATTCATTCCAAATTGAGAAATCGTTTGGGACCTGAAAAAAAACAGGAAAGCTTGCTTTCCTTTTCCAGATTATGAACAAACAGGAAAATGAAGGTGAAGACTGAGTTAGCTGCAGAAGCCAATATTTTAAGTTTCTCATGTTGACCTGGCTGACATAGTCTATTTAATTTTTTTTTTTTACTTTCATTTAACTATTTTAGTTAAAAACAATTTTAACAAAAACAAACCTGATTTTAAAAAACTTGAATGTTTAACTAAATTCAAAAATTCATATGCTTCATTTGTTAAAATATTATACATTTGCTGTTGAACAAAAAAAATCCAGAATACATAACGTTGTTGTTTTAGTTAAATAAAACAATTTAAATGTCTGTCTGGTGATCTTCTCCTCTTAATAGAGCATGGCAAGAAAATCCTCCAAATATTAATTATTAACCTGTTGAATTGGAGATAGTTCACCTCTCAGTGACTTCATAAATATCTGCTTCAATTACCTTTGGTAAATGAAATAACCAATCATTCATTTTCTGATATAGCTGTAAAATCAATCTGAAAAGTTTTCAAAATAAATCGCTTAAAAATGCATAGTGTGTACCTTCTAAATATGAAACCTACATCTATCTCTGAGTTGTGAAGAATATGTATTAAGGTTATAACAACCAACAAGAATACACTTTTAATGTAGAAATCCATTATTAAATCAAGTCTTCCTGACTAGTGATTTAAATCAAATCCACCCTGTCAATGGCTGATAGAACCATTAATTTGGTGTTTGGAATTTTCACGAAGTTTTAAGATTAACACACCAGGTTCACACTGTTTTTATATACCCATTATCACGGGTAAGTCACCTGCCATGGAGGCATTTGCAAAATTATTTCCATTTATCAGATTATATTATGGATTAAAGTGGATCTACAGACTAACACAAAAAATAAGCATTATTTCATTGACTTGATCTGACTACAAAGACAGACATTCATTTCATTCTAGTTTACTGATAGTCTGAGCTAATAATTTTTACGTGAGGGAACCAACAAAGGGAAAAAACTGGGTTTATGTTAATTTAATTTATCTACAAATATAGTCAAAGATTTTTCACAAAAAAGAAGGGAGAATTCTCTTTGGTTTTACACACTATCTCTGCCCATCCTGGCAAAACATCCTCTGGCAAAAAAATTCTACAGGTTGACCATGCATTGTGTGAAGAAATCCTTCCTTTTATTTGTTTTAAACCTGCTGCCTATTATTTTCATTTGGTGACTCTTTGTTCTTGTGTTACGAGGAGTAAATAATACTTAATTATTTACTTTCTCCACAGCAGTCATGATTTTATAGACCTCTACCATATCCCCCCTTAGTCATCTCTTTTCCCAGCTGAAGAGTCCCAGTCTTATTAATCTTTCCTCATATGGAAGCTGTTTTATACCCCTCACCATTTTTGTGGCCCTTTTCTGTACCTTTTTCAATTCTAATATATCTTTTTTGAGATGGGGCAACCAGATCTACATGCAGTATTCAAGATGTGGGCGTACCATGGATTTATATAGAGGCAATAAGATATTTTCTGTCTTATCTATCCCAGGGGTGGGCAAACTACGGTCTGCGGCCGCATCCAGCCCTGCAGACGTTTTAATCCAGTCCTCAAGCTCCCACCAGGGACCAGGGTTGGGGGTTTGCCCCGCTCCCCGTGTGCTGTGGCTCCACACGGCTCACGGAAGCAGCGGCATATCCTCCCTCCAGCTCCTACGCATAGGGTGTGACATTGCACCCCATAATGCTTTACATAAATATGCTTATGAGTGTAAATATGACAAAAGAGATTACCATAGAAGTCAGGAAATATGTTCAGAAATCTGCCAGCAACTAAGAAGATGGAAGGTTCTTTGCTGAAGAATCCCTACAATGATGAAATTGCTGCTCTCAAAAGACACTGAAATGATTTTAAGTGAGAAACAAAATCTTCAGATAAGTTATCTTTAGCTTACCTGAGAGCAGAATGACAATTATTTGTGAACAGCCTGCCTATGTTACTGGTAAAAGCATGGGCTGAAAAATCCACTCATTCAGAGAAAGCAGAAATCTCTCAAGTGTCATCAGCTACTCCAGAATCTGAGCTTTCATTTCAATTGTATATTTATTAAATTATGTTGATATCTCATAGGGTTATGAAGAAAACCTTCCAAATGTGAACCAGGAGGGAAAGTAACAAGAAGCAAGCAAGCAAAGATATAGAGTTCAGTATTGGGCAGAACCCTGAACGCAGGGATGATGCAACTTGATGAGAGATCAGATGGGAAGCTAGTGGTGGGGATCTGAGAATGTGTGGGGTGGGTTATGGCCTGAACAGCAAGCACGGCAGTGGCATAATGTGGCAAAGAGAAGCAAACAAGGAATATTATTTTTGCAGCAACATATTGTATTGCTTGGAGAGGACAGAAGAGGAAGAAAGTTGAAAAGGAAATTGCAATAACCTAGGTGAGACATGACTAGGGCAGGGACCAATTTTTAGCTGTGGAAATGGTGAAGAGGTGGCGAATTTTGGAAGTGTTGTATATTGTGAAGCAATATGATTTGGCAAGATCCTGGGTAGGAAAGACAGAAAGGAAATTAGGATGACCCCAACATTGTAAGCTTGAGCGATTGAGAGGATAGCGGACTTGTTAACAGACTGAGAAAAGTGGAAGAGAACTAGTTCAGAATCCTACAAGGAGCACTTCACCCAAGCAGCAATCAATGAACTATGAACTAATATGCAACTCCTCTCCCTTTTTCTAGGATCACTACACGCTTAATACACCAGCAAATGAAATGCTAGTCAGTCAATCTTAAAGAACTTTAACTAACTGTCTATTTCAAAAATATTTTCCGTTTACTATAACTTTTCAGTAAATTACACTTACTGGGCTTAAGTTGTCCAGGACTGATCTCTGATCAAAGACGAAATTGCTTTATGAAAATTTGGGGAAAGAATTTTCAGCTACTTTCAAGTGAGAAAAAACAAATTATTAAAAAAAATTCTAAATGGTTAAAAAATGCATTTCTTAAGTTGGTTCTAGTATTGGAGCTGGGATTCAAACAATGGGGAAAAAACAGCTTTCAATGATAAATGCCTTTGAATGTTCCAGCAAAAATTATTCTCATTTAGTAGAGCTGAAATCAGTTTGTTCACAACCAGTATTTCTGTTGTTTGCTTTTAAAGAAAATATGAATAACATTTTAAGCAAAAGGTACAGCAAGCTGTCCATGTATCCATGGCACCGTAATAAGTTAGCTGGATAAAAATTTACAGAAGGTTTACAGTGCATAAGGCACTGGTCTCTATGAAGTCTCTTGTTCAATTGGTGAGCATCTTTAGATGTACTGTTGTGCACTGAATATGAAACAGGGTTCTGGGGCCCTCCCCATTTAGTCTGCACCTTCTAAAAGGTATGAAACCAGTGGTTATGTCTACAAACCAGCTGGGAAGCAGGATTTCCAGTGTGGGTAAACACATACACTAGCTCTGCTCTTGTGCCCTAAAAACAGTGCGGCTGAAGTGGCTCAGGCTAGCCACTCATGTATCATCCTGCCCGATCCCTTGTCTATATACTTGGGCAACTAGCTCAAGCCACCATGGCCACACTGCGTTTTTAGCAAAAACAACAAGGAGTCCTTGTGACACCTTAGAGACCAACATTTATTTGGGCATAAGCTTTCGTGGGCTAGAACCCACTTCATCAGATGCATGGATTGGAAAATACAGTAGCAGGTATATATATACACGCACACAGTACATGAAAAGATGGGAGTTGCCTTACCAATTGGGGGTCAGTCTAACAAGACAATTCAATTAACAGTAGAATACCAAGGGAGGAAAAATCATTTTTGTAGTGGTACTGAGGGTGGCCTATTTCAAACAGTTAACAACAAGGTGTGAGTAACAGCAGGGGGAAATCAGTATGGTTAAATTAGGTTTTGTAATGACTCATCCACTCCCAGTCTTTATTCAGGCCTAATTTGATGGTGTCCAGTTTGCAAATTATTTCCCGTTCTGCAGTTTCACATTGGAGTCTGATTCTGAAGTTTTTTTGTTCAAGAACTGCCACTTGTAAGTCTGTTATTGAGTGACCACAGAGGTTGAAGTGTTCTCCTACTGGTTTCTGAATGTTGTAATTCCTGATGTCACATTTGTGTGCACTTATTCTTTTGCCTAGAGAGTATCCGGTTTGGCCAATGTACGTGGCAGAGGGGCACTGCTGGCACATGATGGCATATATCGCATTGGTGCGCTAGCTCAAGCGGAGCTTGCACATGAATGTCTACCTTCACTAGAAATCCCACCTCCAAGCTACTGTGAAGACATGCCCAGTAAGACAGGCCTCAGAAAAAATTCTAGCCAGATTCAGTGTGCAAGCACATAAAGCAAAAACCCAAGGACTGATCTCCTACTATAAATGATTAATATCATTATGGGACAATGACAGTTCTATAGTTAATGGGACAATGACAATGGGACAATGACATTATGGGACAATGACAGTTCTATAGTCACAACTGAGCGAGCAAGCGCATAATTGAATAAAGTTATACTAACATGTTACGTTTTCTCATGCTAACAGCATGTTCTAACATTTAACTCTTTAAAAAATTATTTAAGAACCAGCTCAGCTACTACACACTAGCCTGATAGAAAAATATTTTTCTTTTTATTTATCCTAGCATTATATACATGCATAAACCCACAAATTAACTCAACATCAAGTTTATTGGATCATTTGTGTTTTAAAAGGTACATCATTGTATTGATTACAAAGCTATAAAAATAGAAGAATAAAGTTTAAAAAAATACAATACACAGCTGAATTCCTTCACAAATATTAATTTTGAAGCAATGTCTAGAACTCTTTCTTGTGTAGCCTGCTTGCATTTTCCTTCACTGCAAATCAGAAAATACACCGAAGTTATTTCTATTAATAAAATGTGTATAATGGAATTAAACTGTATGTGACTCTGCAGATTTTTTTTAAAGTCTGTTTTATCTATGCTAGGTCAATACAATATTAAGACTTATTTTAATTGCTGTTTCCTATTTAGAATGTCTGGCCTCAATCCTGAAGTTGGCTCCACTTAGATCTCTGCACAAGCACAGAGAACAATAAAGTCAATGGCACAGGTCTCATTGCACATAATAGCTTTGAATAAATCATCAACTCTATAATTCAGATTCTCTACAAAAATACTATTTATGTGGTGTTAAATAGATATCTTAATAAAAGCACTGAAAATAGAAGTACAGCTTAAATCTCTTTACAGCATATGTACTTTTATATTACTATTATTTCAACTTCTTCAAAGTCTAAGTTTCAAAATCCAATTTATTTTTTACACTGTTTGACATTTTTGCATTTCTCTCACCTTAGACAAAGCAAGGCAATGAAGTCCATTTCACCTTTAGGTTCTCAAAGCAGTAAACCCTGCAGGAGGATATGTTTTTGAACTGTTTTTAAGGCTTGAAAAATCCATGTCTACCTTTGAAACGCTTCCCAGACAAGCGAGGAGACTATCAGCGCTTGGAGAGCCAAAACTCATTT